TGGGTCCCCTCTTCCATAACTCAGCCTCACCTGCAGGGTTCAGCTAAGACTTAGGAAGCACTTTGCAAGTGTGCTTCCGTCATTCCTAAGCCTCTTCGGAGAAAGGCTATTATCACCAAATGGGCTTTTTCAATAAAATCTTCAGATTTGGAATGGAGCAACAGCACAGTGAGACAGGGCACCCCGTGCAGACACAGAGCATCTTGGTCATAAGCAGGGCCTGGGGAGCCCCATCAACTTCCAGCTGTGTGGCCTTGGGCCAGTGGCCCAACCTCTCTGAGCTCCGTTTCCCAGCTCTGTAAAATGGGGTTAGCAATCCTTCCTACTTCTCGTCAGGTTGTTTGGTTATAAAGCATGAATCTAAAACATCTGGCCCACACCACATTCTCTGCATCTCTCAGCAGTTCCTCTTATTCATAAGTCAATGTAACGATTCATCACACTCTGTAGGGACACTATGGATAGCAGTACACTGAGTTCTGAAAGAACCGACTGTGACCTCACCTGGGATGTCAGTGTAGCAGCACCCCCGATGCCACACCATTACTGCTCAAACCCCTGCCAGCCCAGCGGCCTGGGACTTCAACTCCCCCCCATTCAGACGCCTGAGAGTGTCGTCTCAGTCATGAACAGAATAGCACGCAGTTTTTAAAACTATCCCCAACTGTACAATTTGCAAATTTAAAGACACATCAGTGCCACGAATAATCACAATTATGTGATTTTAAATATTCACCTGTGCAACTCTCCCCCACCCGGAAAGTTACCCCTTTCCTGAGAATGTAGTATGTGCCACCGAGCCACAGCCTGCTGGGGACCTGTTCCTCGCCTGTTTCCGCAAGGCCACCTCACGTCTCATGCTGTTCTCAGCAATTCACAGAGAACAGAAAAAAAAAAAGTCATTTTCAGGAAGGGAACTGATCATTTCTCTCACATTTCCACTTGTGGAAGGACACACGGCGGCCTCATTCCGCACTTTCCGCCCTTCTGTTCTGTCTGGGGAAGAGCGCTAAGGACAGCCTAGGTGGCCCCAGGGTTGGGGTTCCTGGGGACCCTGGGAGCCTCACCCACGCTTTTCATAAGGAATCAAAAGGTGGGGTTCTCTCTCCCGACCCCCAGAGGCAAGCAGCCCATAAACACAGGCAGATGGATCTATAAACCCTTCAGAGGACAAGCTGACAGCCTGGATGTCCACCCTGGGCCCAGGCCTGCGCCCAGGTCTCCAAGCCCCCGACAAGGGACAATCTCTACCTCTCTTCTCTTATCCTCTCTCTTACTCCCCCTTTTCTGTTCTCTCCCTTCTCCTTCCCATCTCTTCCTCACTTTCTCTCTGTGTCTCTCTCTTCCCCCCTATTTACTTTATCTGTCCCCCTCTGTTAATGGCAACACAGTGAAAACAGGCACCAAGATCTACAAATCTCCGGCCCTGCCCAGCCCACCAGTTGTCCAGATGGTCCGTGCAGGTAGGAATAATCTGGTTAAATTTTTTCCAATCCAAGTTATTTTTTCTCATCTTCATTCATAAATCCAATAACTCGTTGATGTCCTCCTCAAACTTTCCTTCAAGACTTTCCTGCCACTCGGGAGCTGCCTGGGAGGCCCAGGGCCTGGGCTGGGGGGCCAGAGGTGACTGGTTTGGGGGCACTCGTCTGTCTCCCTCCTCCGCCCAGCTGCCTGAGATGTCACCCTAAACT